CCGATCCCGCCAAGAGCGCTGCAATGGCGATCGTCCTTCTGTGAGTGAATTGGTGTAGAGGGCATGGATTGGGCTAACGCACCCGAGGTTCATTGAGGTTAATCTCACAATCATTTGTGGTAACTTTCCGGCGATGCGAATGTTCACTAAACAAATAAAAGACAAAGTCAGTTGCAGAAGCAGAGCGACAGCCTCGAGACGTCCAGACACTATGATAGGCGAAGAGGAGAGTATGAATTACGGATTACAAGGGCCGGAGGTCTATCCATTAGGCGGAGTGGAGGGAATGCCTAGCCGCAACAGTAGCCAACGTAGTATGCTCCCGAAGGATGACTCATTCGGTGGGTTCTAGCAATGGTAAGAATCTCAGACAATCAGGGTGTACCGATGAAAATCCATAGAGTTGTGGCACAATTCCCAGTTCCTGTTGTGTTACGTGCGAACCGAAAAACTAGTTCAGCAGTCCCGCCAGCTTCAGAGACATTGGGTCTACCAAACTGAGCAGGGGATCTGGAAATCCTCAAGGTCCTCCAGTTTCTCCGCGATCCCGGAACCGTTATACTCGAATTCCCCGTTATGATCACACTGCTCTTGCCATAGTCCAGAGCCCGAGGCCGTAGCTGTAGGTTCGGGTAGCTGCAGTGCTCCCCAATGGTAGGTCGTGGAGTTTCCATAGGGAGCATGTGACCATTCATTGTCGCTATAAAAGCTTGTACCGGAGCAGTCCCAACCCGTCTCAAGACAAGATGGCGCTGTGTGAAGTGGGACAGGAACAGGATGCCACTCGTTATGAAACGCCCATGTCTCGGGCAGATCTGGTGTCCTTATGCTGACGGCCGAATCTCCATCCGGTGACTTCATGTTAAAAACATTATATGGATGGAAGGCAGAAAGGCTCGTAGTTACTGTTATTCTCTTTAAGTAATGTGGGAATCTCGGTGGGTGGAGGGCCTTACCGATAACTTCTTGGCCAAGTCCTCCGATGATTGGCTGTCTCATATCAGATGCTCTGTGTTGTCCTGAAGTACCTACCATGTAATCATCTTTTGGGCAACGAGATATACTGGTGGTGTTTCCGGGAGCAGAGGTGGCGTTGGATTTAGCCGAGGGTTGAGCTCGATGTCCCAACGCACCGTCGACGCGTTGGATAGTGCATGTTTTTCTAAGCCTAGTGCAGTAGCTGCAGCTACTGTCCCCATTTTGTTCACATTTAATCCTTCGTTTACGGCAGTTTGCTGGAAAGTGATCAGTTTGATACCCGCGGAAGTCATTTGTCCCCAAAGAGGAATGGGATGTCCTTGACTGCTTACTGCAAGCTATCGGAACACGCTGCCTTGTACCATTGTCAGCAGCCTGAAGAAGCGCGGGCTCCTTCCAGCTTGGCTGCCTTATTTTGGAAGTTCCTGTCGTTCCTCTCGTTGAGGCGAGCGAGGTACTGCTGTCTTTCGGACTGGGGTCCGTACAGCCGTTCAATTTGGAGCGACTCACACCAGGGTCGTTACTTGGATGGTTCAGGGCATCATTGCTCTGAAGCTGTGGGGGTTGTTGCATGTTGGCATGCTTCGGGGTCGAGGGGGACTCGCCGCTGTCAGAGTCAGAGGTGCAGTCATCCAAGATGTCGCCACCGTTGTGCATGCCACGCTGGTGAGACCGCCTTCGGTGTTTGACTATGGTGATCTTGCGGCAGAAGCTGTTCAGTATGGTTAGTGCCAACCTCTCAAGAAGCAATGGATGGGAAAGGGTCGATGGGCTCGAAACTTACCCCTTTTTGTAGCCATCGAGGGTGCACTCGTAAGGGCGTTCGCCGGTGTGGCTGTAGCGATGTCTGGCCAAACTCGAAGGCTGCTTAAGTCAATACGTGCCAGTGCACAACGGGGGGAGAGAGCGGCCATACATGAGAGAATCGCTTCCCGCAGCCAATGTGCTCGCACTGATGAGGCTTCTCTCCCGTGTGGGTGCGGATGTGGACAGTGAGAGCACTCCGTTGGTAGAAGCTCTTGCCACAGCCGGGTGTCGTGCACGAGTGAGGACGCTCGTTGGTGTGGATGCGGTGGTGTCTCTTTAAGTCCGACCTCCTGTTGAAGCTCTTGCCACAGCCGGACGTCGTGCACGAGTGAGGACGATAGTTGGTGTGGACGAAGCGGTTGTGTCTCTCTAAGTTTGACTGCTGCTTGAAGCTCTTGCCACAGCCGGGCGTCGTGCACGAGTGGGGACGCTTAGTGGTGTGGACGAAGCGGTGTCTCTCCAAGCCCGAATTCTTTTCGAATCGCTGCGAGATATGGAGGTTAGATTCGCGCAGACATCAGCAGCGGAGAAGGGTCGAGTGACCCCTTGGCTTGTGTAAGCTCACCTGGTTGCAAGACTGCCAGTCGCACTTGAAGGGGCGAGCGGTAGGTTCGTTCTCGACAAGTTCCCCGAGCTCCATATCTTTGGGTTTTGCGTATGCGCCGAAACTGCAATGTTTCCCGCAAATAATTATCCGTGGCGGGCGAAAGAGAATATGCAAGGTTGTCTTGAGACGATCAGCGATAAAGAAAACGTGTTTACAGAAGCTGGGTGACTTGAGGTGTAGAATGGAGAGGTTTTGAGCTATGACTCGAGGCTCTTGCCGGTATTTATACTGTTTTATAACACAAAGCCACGTGCACGGAGCAATGCTACCAGTAGTTGTCTTTGCAGACTTGACCAACTTTAAATGAGATCAGCCTGACAAGGCTCGGAATTGATCATACCCTGCAGGGGCTGACATAGATGGATGCTGTGGTTTTCTGCAACAAGGTAGTCTCAGTCGAAAAAGCAGGGTAGCATCTCAAGAAGACCAATCATTGGCCTCTGAAAGGTCTTCAGAGAGTCGTATTTGTCTGTTGCGTTTAGTTGGTTACTATCTTTGCCGCTGGAAGCCACAAAGTAACATGGCTCTGGGCTTCGTCGCCATAGCCCAAACGCAGAACATCCTTCAGCTCGTGTCTTTTGTCGAAGTGTGAGGAAACTGTCAAGCTCAAGGGCATTTCCAGTACCGATTTAGCTCACCAAAAGCCTACCGGCAGTGCAACACGATATTCGATGGCCACTCAAGTCACCATGCCCTCCTGACAAGGGGCCATCGGTGTCCCCATTGAACACCCGCAGATTCTGTAGGGTGGCAGTATTCCACCATCTGAACGCTGCCTTAGATAAGAGACTGCTCCTGCACAGCCTCTCTTAAGGTCACAGAAGCCTCATGTCACTCCTAGTCTGGAGGCTGCCGGGTGACTCGCAGGTGAGCTTCCGCGGCGACACCAAGCATGAGGTGCTGTGATGTTAAACATCACCTGTACTGAGAGGATTGCAAGGCCCTGAGGTCTCCGCCACCCTTCCTGACCCGAGATCGTCGTCGTCACTGTTGAGGGAAACGGCGGACAAGGAAACCTCTTCGGAGGAGTCGACGGACAAAGGCTCGCTGTTGGCGAAGAAGAAACGATAGGCCGCTTTGGAGGAATTCGCTCAAAAATATCCCTGAGCCTGGTATCTGTCGCTGATAGGATCGTCTGACGCCTGTCTTAGTCGACTTTGCAGCATGGATGGTGTAGGAACTAATGGGTTTGGTAGCGTGTAGATGTCAATCCAGGTCCTGTCGCCCGACATCAGACGCACGTTGGCTAGAAAGCTAGAACATTTTGGCTTTCATTACGCTAACAGAAGTGAATGCCCTCGTTGATATTGCAATTGTAGCAAATATGTTGGTTCAAGGAAGTAGGACACGCTGATATTAGTTCGTAGAGTGGTCTCCATCCAGCAGAAGATACTCCAAGATTGAGCGCACGTTCAAGCGGTGTTGCTATATAGTGACTGTTCTCATCGTGCTACCTTCCAGTAGATGGGTACTGTAAGGAGATCAACGAAGGCGGAAGGTTCATGGTTGTCAGATCGCTGGTGAAGCTCTCTGATGAAGCGCGGCTCGTGGAAGCGTCGCTCAAGATATTCTTGTCGTTCTTCAAGACGTAGATGATATTGCTTTTGCCGAACTCTTCTGTTGACCAAGGAGAACGAATAAGGTCATAATTGACCACGGTGGACAGACGCAATCATATGCGAGTGAACCTCAAAACTTCCTTAACATGAGACAGCTTTCTTACTTTGTGTTCAAAGATTTACCGATGATGTCCTCTAGTTCCCAAATCATCGTTCTGGCCGGTCAAGCCATTGAATGCCATCTCAGCGGCGTCTTCTTTCGCATTATTCATATTATTTCCATTGTACCAGAAGCGAGCCTGGTAAATGTGGCCACGAACGGTTACATGGCTAGACCAGGCTGTGCGATTTCCTGATGGGGCAAAGTCAGTATGAGAAGTTCTGAAGAAACTCGAAAGACAGCATACCACGCCGGTCAGAGACGAGCCCAAAAACGGGGGGCGGAATGTCCGCCTCACGACATGCAGCTTTTGCAAGCGGTCAGCATCTAACAAGTGGCTGTGCTGTGTGCAGATGTTCACCTTTAAGGCGTTCCTGCCAATTGATGCCCTGTCCATTTCTTGTAATGCCAGCCATGCTGCTAGTGATTGTCAGGTGCTGGTTATAGTTCGGGTTCCAAGTACGCCACAGTAACTTCTGACAGAAGAGAAAGAACTGAAGTTGACAGGATGAAAGCAAAGCGGACAGAATCATATAATTTCTCTACTGTGATGGTCCATAGGGACGGGCGCGTTTCCATCCAGGAAAGCGCAACTCTCCACCTCCGAGCGAAAAGACGACGAAGTAAGAACCGAAGCCTCATAATTTCGTGATGGAGTGTCAAGGTGTTCCCTTGTTGGTCTTGACCAATCGCGGGACAGCCGGTGCCTTGGAGATGGATAGGCTCCACTGTGAGAGTCGTTGAGGGTGCCGGTCGGATAAAGTGGGCGACAGGCCTGCGGCGATGGCTCTTCAAGAGTAGCTTAATCGGAGCTCGTAGATGGCTATCAAGACCAGATGATTCTCAAGACTTGACGCGATCTGCGCACGGAGCAATAACCCATAAATTGAGGGCTGCGTTTGGCCAGCCAAAGGCGAATGCCCGCGACTGGACTCTGACCAACCAAAAGGCAAGTACGAAATAAACAGCCCGCTTTTCGTCGACCGAGGTCGTAACTATTTCCCCTGTGTCTCTGTGTCCTACATGCCTCACTGATCCATGCGAGATACCGGTGGACCCGGTTCGTTCGGCTGGGATGTATTATCCCATTGTCTCCTACCTGCTGGATCGGGGTAGCCATCCAATACTTCTTGCACACCCTCAACTGAAGCTAGTGGCGAGCTGGTCCCCACGCAAAAGCGGACAGTCTTTGTGCCCAAGTCCAGCAAGGGTAACGAGGCCTTTCGAGGAGACAGCCAAGAGCTCATCAACCGAATATGCGCCAAGAGGAGGAAGGGGGGTGGGGGAACCGGGAACACTTTATGCAACATGACAGGGCTCCGAGCTCGAGGAGAGTCCGCTGGACATGTCGAGGTGATGCCCTTGTGCGGATGGACAACACCCACAAAGGCAGCATTAGTGGATCACCGCCAAAGGCATGGCCCGCATACTGAGATTGATGCCGGCTATATTTATGCAAGATATCTGAGCGACATCAGCTTGCTTCTCGAAGACAGGATTGGTGTGGCGTTGTTGCTGAGTGTGAGAGCAGATCCATGATAAGCCTGATAAAAAGGACCGCGTTCCCTCAACCCGTCTCTGTAGCCCTGGCAGCAAAGAATGAGAGACCGGCGGTGCAATTCGGTGATTGTTGACGGATTGGTGGCAGGTCATCAACGTTGGGATTAGTCTAGTAGCATCGGTAGACTGTCTCATAATGTACGGATCCTGGCCACCCTGGTTATGAGACCGAGACGATGTGGCCGCGACGATGTCGCCCAACTGCATGCCTACAGAAGGCAAAGTCACTTGGATTGTTCCATCGACTTCGGAAAGAGACGGAGTACTGTAGCTGTTACGCGGACTGGAGAGTGGCCGGTCCAGCATGTGTGTTTGATATGGCTCGCACGATATTGACGAGGTGGATGTACATGGGACAGGCTTGTATGTGAGAACCGGCCAGAGCATCATCGGGAGACTTGTCATGCATGTCCCCTCCAGCTCACAAGGATTGCATCTTCGGTCGCTGGCTCGGGTACCAGATTAAGTAACGGAGTACGCTAGGTGTCATCCGCACCGCGAAGGCAAGGGGCCACGGTCGTTCGGTGCGTTCATGGCTTTTACCTTTCGCTTAGGAGATTTCTTGTAGTCCTCAGACGGAACCCGGGGACAAATGCTAACCTGTGCGATAGCAGGGGCGCTGCACTGATATAAATGCTGATCCTCGTGTCCGTTTAGACCCAACACTCACTCACAGACGTCTCTCTCGAGCTGTACTCACCAAAGCTTTACCATATTCGAATCTACTGCCACCTTCTACTTTGACTATCCAAATCCAAGCCGCAATGAACGACACCAGCGGACCGGCGGCTAAGCCGTTTGACCCCGTGTGGGCAGCGGAGAGTAACACTGCACGGATCATGGCCGTTGTTACGATTTTTCACGTGCTGGCACTTTTATGCATCGGTCTACGGGTGTATGCCAGAGTTGTGGCTGTCAAAACGCCTGGGTTCGATGATCTTATGATAGTTCTCTCCGGTGTAGGTTCTCCTTATACTCGAGCTTCTCCGGCCATCTTTCGTACTGACGGTCGCTTGGTTATAGCTCTGTGCTCTGGGAGGTTGGGTCATCTTCGTCATCCAGGCAAACTACGGCCTAGGAAAGCATTACCTGACGATCAGCGATCAAGATTACATGATGTTCCAGAAAGTTGGGTTCTGGCAGTCTATCATCTCTGCTGGATTGGCCTTCATGTGGCTTAAGATTTCCATTGCTCTCACCCTTCTGCGCCTCAGCGAGAAAATGGCGCAGAGATGGTACAGATGGGCTTTGTGGATAATGATCGGTATGTCGTGGGTTGAGACCGGGCACTGAAAAATATCAGCTGTAAAAGGAGATGAATCTGCTAACGAAGCTAGGTGTAACTTTCTTCTATTGCATCGGCGGTACGCTTCCTTTCTTCCTCAAGTGCCGCCCTATGGCGGGCTACTGGGATAAGAGCATCAAACCAACGCCTACGTGCATGGACATCAAGGTTTTCATCCTTCTCAGCATTGTAAACACTGGTGCGTCGGAGCTCTGGAAACGTAACGTACCATGTGCCGCTTGGCTGACGGGTCATCAGCTTTTAATATCGGCACCGATATCATCTTCGCCACACTGCCGACTCTGGTCGTCTGGAAGCTCCGGATGGAGCGCAAGGCTCGGTTGTACGTTATTGGAATCTTGAGCTTAGGCTATGTGTGCGTCTGTGTCCTCGAGAAGCGGCATGAGTTTTGACTGAACCCTTCGCAGTGCTGTTGTCATGGGTATCGTCAAATCGAAGTACCAGCTCGCGTTAGAGAAGGATGAGGACAAGACCTTCAACCAAAACATACAAGTCTTGGGTTTGTGAGTGGACTGAAAGCCCTCGAATATCGCGATCACCCCGTGCTCATGCATCCAGTTTGCAATTGCAGCTCGGCATCATCGCGGCTTGCGCGACGGCCTTGAGGCCGTTGGTCAAGAAAATACTCAGATTGTCTTCTCGTGATGACAGACCGATACTTTTGCATGACCAAGCGCCATACCCGAGAAGAACAGGTTGCGGGGTGGGCGGAGACAGTGCCAGCCAGAAGTCTATTCTGCAAGATGGCATCACCAAGACTACGGAGGTGACCATCAAGGGCCAGGAAGGGCAAATGGATGGTGCAGACAGAGCGGAGAGCTCGATTTTCCCGGGGCAGTAGTTATCCAGGTCCATGTATAAAGTAGATAGCTGGTTGAAACCACTGTCTACATATTCGACCAAACTAGCTGTACTTCACCTCTACTATCCGTTGGCGGTGTCACGAAATTGCATGTCAGGCTGTTGGGTCGCTCAAAAGAAGTACTATCCCATACTGTGGTATCTCTCATTGCCTGGCTAGTGTCAGATGGCGTTTGGATCCGGGGTGGCGCCTTCTGAGCTTGCCTCTTCTAATCGCGCTTGGATTGCTGAGCACTGCATCGCCAGAACGGGATTTGTAAACAGTTTTGATGGAACACTCTTGAATTATAACAGAAATACATCAGTGCAGACTTGAGCATTCAGTATCGAGTACGTGTGTCCGTCATGAACGTAGCGTTACCACTGCATTTGATACCCAGTCGCTAGCTTCCATCATTGATGCCACCGCTCAGAGGCCGGCTAGTAACATGGGGACAAGAAATTGACTGTTGTACTCCCACAGCCTAGTTGTAAATTGTGCGCAGTAACCGGCGCCTGTGTAGTACGTGCTCAGGTGGCCTTGCAATCCGTATTGGTCCGTTATGTGGCCGTCACTGATATCAGAGGCAGACACGCGCAGGTGCATGGGGCCGTGGTCGGACCAGGCCTTGTACTCAATCCTCTCAGCGTCGAGACGTGAGATCGTGCCGGCGTCGGCGAGTTTCTCTAAGGATCTGTTCACTAGGCTCTTCGCCTTACAGGAGTTGTAGTCAGGGGGCCCGGTAACGAGCACTCGAAAATAGCCATCGCCTAGATCGTCGAAACGGCCAACAGAAGGGGTCTCGGGGAGAGAGAGCCACTTGCTGGGGTCTTGATTGGCAAGAGAAGAGCCATTCCGAAGGGAAGGGTGAGAGACGACACCAACGTGCACGTGGGACCACTCCCATCTGGAAAAAACCGCTTTCTCTTTCGCGTCGATGTCGATTCCTTCGAGATTGGCAAGGGTGGGCTCGAAGGCAATGAGGAGCTTCTTCGCACGGATGAGAGTTAACTGGCCGTCGGCGCCGCGGACCAGAACTTCAACGCCCTCATCCGTTCGATGGGTTTCAATAGCCATGGACGAGAGGAAGACGTCGTCGCCCAGTAGCTTAGCGATAGCGTCGTAAAGGTCTTGCTTCCGCCCGGAAACAGGGACGAAAGAGGAGACCTTACCCAGCAGGGAGCGGGTCAGGTCCGCGTCGAACGCTTGCATCACGTACAAGGTCGTCTGGTTGGCAAGGTTGCCCATGCCAAGGCCAGTGACCTGGAAGATACGTGGGACGGCAGCTCGGAGATTGTACTTCTCGACAAAATCCGAGAACTTGAGCAGCAAGTCCTCCGGAATACCAGCTGTAGTGTTCGGGAAATTGGCGTAAGAAGGAGTGATCATGGATTTGTACATCTCGCAGATAGCGAGGTACTTCTCCAGAGCGATTGTGGTATCGGCCGAGGCCGGCGCCGAATAGTTTGTGACGCGGCCTGTGTTGAAGTCGGCGTTTATGGTCACCAGGGGTCGACGAACAGGACTTTGGACTGTGATATTGAAGCGCGCAAAAAACTTAAGGGCCTCGCCGGAGTCAGTGTACGAGTTGACGCCATAGTCGTACAGTTTGCGAGTTATAGGATCGATGTATGATGCTACGTGGCCACCCTGGACGTGTCAGCTTCTCTACCTGTCATCCAGTTTGTTTGTTGAGGGACCTACAAGACGGTCCTGTTCCTCAACAACGGCAATATCCTCCCCGGAATCGCGGAGTAGAACAGCGGCATGGGCACCGGAAGCACCGCCACCAAGAATCACGATATCCCTTTGGATGACGGTCTTGACGTGACTGGGCGAGATAACAGTCGCCGCCCCAAGGGACAAAACATGGAAAAAAGCGATGAAACAGGCAAACATAGTGATTGTCGGGATGCAAGAGAAGAAAGGATCGATGCCAGGAAAGGGGTTTTGCAGAGCTGCAAGCTCCCTGTCGCTCTTATAAATACCCAGCCTCAAGGCAACAGACCGCCGATTCATTTCCAGGATACAAAAACCCTCGTGTTCTCAGCATGGGGCGGCCGAACAGCCCCATCAGGACTTAGCAGATCCATGAACCATCGAACAGGGTTGTGACGGAGCCCGCAAGTGTTGCGCTGTGCTGGGCCCCTCTGGCCACATGACATAGGAATTCCCATGAGTGTTCGTGTGCGCGGCCGGAGCTGGAAGACAGACGGTTCTTGCAAAGTTCGCGGATTGATCGACGCCGAAGAAACAGTTCTCGCTGTAGCAGTCGACCGGGAATGGGCTTGTCCCTCGCGAGAAGCACACGCCAGGGCCGCCCTCTGCAGCCCTCACTGAAGCTTGCGTCTTGACCGTCTTGCAGATGAGTATCCAGCTTGTCGCTTGTTGGTGCTGGCCAATCGCGGGATAGCCGGCGACTCGAGAATGAATGCGCCCCACTGGATGGCCTTGGAAGGTGCCAGTCGACAAGATGGGCTGCAGGCGTGGGTTTTCAGGACGCTGCTCAACTGACAGTCGCAGATGGCGTCTGCGTTGGCTAAACGGTTCACCAAGACGAATGGGTCCGAGGGCTTGGCGGGTACGATCTGCCCACCGACTGTGTGCCAATCTTGCTGTTGTGACATTCGTGCAGTTCGGTTGGTATGGCAGCAGCTCCCTGTCTGGGCGCATTGCAATCAGCATCGTGATGGTGTTAGACCGGGCTCCAGCGAAACAACACGCATAGTGGGCACCGAGGACAATTTCTGGGTCTCCCTTGTCTGGATCCGCTCGGTCTGCTGTTCCCATTTTCTTGCCCGACAGCTGGTGGGAGCTCTGTCTTGGAGTTGGTCCACGGGCGTCCAACCAGGGTGCCTCTCCGTGGACTGGGGACCCCACCTATGATGTTCGGACGGTGTGGCCGTATTCAGACCTCTCAAAGAACTTGTCTGCCCTCCACTTGATCCAGAGGACAGGGTGCTTTAGCTGTGCAGGGGCTGGAGGATGGCGCCCAGTCGCGCCATAAAGGCCTGTGCGGGGACGACCCTGGGCACCGTCGACGGCCCAAGGACCAAGTACAGAGTACAAGAGACTGAGCCCGGTTGTAGCGACGCACCCATCACCGTCTGCTGACAGGGGCATCGGGATCGCTTGTTCACTTGCCCGGCACCGCAAAATTGATTGCTTTCGTGCCGCAACAGGGGCCGCGTCGCGTGGCAGAGAACCAATCACACACCACCAGGCCTCCTCAGTTTCAGCCAATCACATTTCCGTCCGCCAACGACACCCAGACAACCTTGACAAATCGCCGTCCATGCCCTCTTTTGCCAGAGAACAAGGCAGCCAAGGGGTCTGGCGTTTAAGTCAAGAACAGCCCCCTGAGCAGCGCCTCCTGGTTACTGACCTCTGTACAAAATCGCTGTAGGTTCCTCCCGCAGGAAACATATTGAAGAGCCGCCTACTGCGAGGAAGGTCCTTAGTACACACCCTCGTCAGTCCTTCATACTCTCGCCCTCTGACTCTACGCCACGACAATGGAAACATACTACGGCTTTGTGGAAACGCTGGCAGACGCTGTCAAGCTCTTTGATGCCTGTCTAGCGGGGCGTCTCCCGCGCGTTCGACGCAAACTACAACAGGACGAGATGCGACTTATTCGATCAGGCTCAGTCTTTGTTTGGATGAAGGAGGAAGCGGGATTCCAAGAATGGACTGACGGAAAATCATGGGTCCATTTGGAAGATTCAGGAATCTTCACTTGCCTCCTCGAGGAAACGAGTGAGGCAAATGGTTTCATCAAGAAGCTCCTCAGCATCTGTACCATACACGGCCCGCAACTCCGCCTCGTCTCTTACTACCAATCGGGATCGCTAGAGCTTCAGCGACCGAGCACCGATTCTCAGTTACAACACATCACCTACCTGAGGAGTGTCTACAGGGAGTTAGAGGTGTTGGAACGTGACGACAAAAGTCTCGCGCCGTTCCTGGCGAGAGTACCGACGCAGCGCAGCCTTATCGATCACCTCTCTTTTTGCAGGTACTGTATCGATATGGATTTCACCGTCGGTGAAGTTGACAGAGCATTGCAGCTCCTTACTTGCACGATCAAATTTTTGAAAAATACGAACTACGAGTTAGACCAGACAACTCGGAAAGAGGTTGTCCCGTGGTTCCAACGCATGTATTGTCATAAGTACCTTTGGAAATAAATCCAAAAAATTCAATACGAAATACGTCGCATCTACTACACTTAATGAAGTTGGCCGCGAGGGCCATCTTCTTAGGGAATCCTTCCTCATTTGGCGGTTTATGTTCCCATTCTTCCACAGGAAGAAATTCATGCCTCGGATCCAACCGATCGCCCACATACGCCGTCAAGGTTCTCGTGAATCACATTTTGAATTACCGTCTGGTGAGGGGCCGTGAAGTGGAGGCCCCGAAGATAGGAGAGTTCCGCGCCGAAAAGATTGACTTCAACAGCAGGCTAATAGAACACAAGAGTTCTCGGACGGCCCCTATCCTCTGCATCTCCTTCGATTTTGCGAGAAGTAACCCTGATGGCGTGTTCGGCCGTACTACTCATAACCTTGAGCGGAAATCCCGAAGACAGAGTCCCGCACCGAACCCCTTTACCTTCAGTAGGAGGCAAGCTAGGGTACGTCTGTCTGCCATAACCTTTACCCTTTGCAACTCCTTCACTCTCCAACAGAATGCCCTGTCGATGTATTCAGCTATGCTACCATGACCGGGGTTCTCGCCCCAACCAGCAATCATTTCACAACCAAGGAGGGGAGGGCCTGCAACGTGACCCATGGCGCTTGTGCTACAGGATCGCTGTCTACCCCTATTTCTTGTTGAAAAAAGTGTACCCAAATCCGGATAAGCATGCTTTGACCCTGATAATGCTATTGTGACCCCTGTACAGATTCTCTGTAGGTTCCTCTCGCACCCCACAACTGAAGGGAACCTGCAGACACACACTCACGTCGGTATGAGACAATCTAAAAAACTGGAGGAAGCTCCCATTCTCGTGTCAGGTATTGTGTGAAATGGCCGGTTTTTTTGCTTTAGCTATGAAGTGTAAAGTCCAAGCATCCTTGTCAAGTCTTTGCTAGTGAAGCCATGGGACTGGTCAACGGCTGCATATTTTCAATCGATTCTGATTGGCGGTAATGAAACTTGCAGTTCAAGAACTGACAGAAAACGACCTGGAAACGACACGGAATTCTTGCAAGGCCCTCCGTTCACGAAAGACTCGCAACCTCGTGGAAAGCGACATTGAGGACCCCGCCTTTTCCCGAAGGAAACTAGGAGATGGTGGAGCAATCACCGAAGCAAGCCTTGTACATGACGCTTGTTGCCATCGTCCAACACCCCGTGCATGCTCCATTCGAAACCTACAGGAGAAGCACCAGAATATAGAGGCCATAGAGTTGTAGTACTCAGCAGAGCCGAGTAGGTATCCTGTTCTCCAGCAGATAGCCACGATAGGAGTCCCGGTGCCGAGTCCCACGAAGGAATGTGTAGCTGGTGCGGGTAGTGTTCGTCGGCATCGAAGGAAACACAATTTAGAGCAAAGTTCCCTGCTTGCGGGGCTTGGTGAATGGTAAAGCCGTCGTGGGCAGATAGACTCCTTTCTGATGTTACCGCGTTGCTGCTCGCATTATTTTGTAAGGGATGGCTCATAGCAGGTGCAGAGCCTTGGAAATTGACTTCATGGTGTTGCCACCGGGACACGTGTGGGTTAATAGTCATGTACGTATCCCCCAAAACCGGTTGGTGGTGCCCATCAGAGTGACTATAGAACTCCTGAACATCACCGTGTAAGGTGAGCGTGGTTATACCATACTGTGGTTGTGTTGAAGCTTCGTTCGCCCGTCTGCCGTTATTAAAGGAGGGAGCAGCATAGCTCATAGTATTAACCGTGTTATGATGAATCAGGCCATGATTGCTCTGGTGTTGTGGGGGCTGTTGCACGATATCATGTGGTAAAGTTAAGGATTTATCCACACTGTTAGAGTCTAGGGTGCAGTCGTCCAAGTTGTCGACGCCGTTGTATATGACTTGCTGGCGAGGCCGTCTTTGTCGCTTGACTATGGTGGTCTTATGGCAACAGCTGTCCAGTCTGATTAGTGTTAAAATCTCGCATGCGATGGGAAAAGGTTGGTAGGCTCAAATCCTACCTCTTGAGGCTGCCGTTTTGGACGCACTTGCAGGGGCGTTTGCTATTGTGAATGCGGCGATGTCTGGCCAAACACGAAGGCTGATCAAGTTAATATGTGCTAGTGTATAACGGAGGAAGAGAAAGGGTTATACATCAGAGAATCGCTTCCCACAACCAATGTGTTGGCAATGGTAAGGCCGCTCTCCCGTATGGGTTCGGATATGTATAGTGAGAGCACCCCGTTGGATAAACTTTTTGCCACATCCAGGCGTTTCGCAGTGAAATGGACGTTCCTTGGTGTGGATACGGCGATGTTTGGTCAAGCCAGAAGGCTGATCAAGGTAATATGTGCCAGTGTATAACGGAGGAAGAGAAAGGGTTATACATCAGAGAATCGCTTCCCACAACCAATGTGTTGGCAATGGTAAGGCCGCTCTCCCGTATGGGTTCGGATATGTATAGTGAGAGCACCCCGTTGGATAAACTTTTTGTCACATCCAGGCGTTTCGCAGTGAAATGGACGTTCCTTGGTGTGGATACGGCGGTGTCTTGTCAAGCCTGAATTATATCTAAAGGTCTACCCGATATGGAGGTCAGCGCAGACGACGGAAGCAGTGAAGGATCGAGTGGCTCAGTGGCCTATCAACACTCACCTTTTCGCACGAAGGCCATCCACAAACAATGAGGCGAGCGGTGGGCTTGTTCTTGACGAGTCCCATGAGCTTTATATCATTGGGTCTTGCGTTTGCGTCGAGTAACTGCAATATTGCCTGCAAAGTTCTAAGAATATTTGGATCCTGTAGCGGACGACAAGGGATATAAACGGCTTCTTTAAACTAATGGTGATTAAGAAGTCGTGCTTGTAAGGGTTGCGTGAGTTGAGATACAAAATCGAGAGGTTCTGAGTTCTGGCTTGGGGGGTTTTGCTGGTATTTGTACTTTTCTATCAGTTACTACCACGCGCACAAATTAATCTGCCCATCCTGCAGGGGCTGACAAGGTAGTTCCAACCGAAAGAGCGGGTCAGCATCGCATTATTCTCTCACAGATCTTCAGAGAATCGGGTGTGTTTTTTGCTGCGATGAATTGGTTACTATATTTGACCGCCCAAATCCACAAACTAACACGGCGCTGGGCTTCCTCACCATAGCCCATACACAAAACATCCTTTAGCTAACTCAACCACCCTGCTTCCCACGCAACCCCGCATACCACGCAGCCCCAAACCCCCATCAATATCACCATACCCATCAACAACATCCATTATTCCTCATCCCTACCACCTACCCAGATGCAACTTTCTGCTTCACTAGATAATTCAGATCCACTGGATTCACTTGTGCTACTCTCTGCTTCGCCAGCAGCAATTTGCGCCCGTCGGATATCCTCGATATTAGCGAACGTCGTGTTAGGGTCCGTCTGGACCCTTTTTCTCCTGCCTTGTTGCTGACTATCCGTCTGGGCCTGGAATGCCTGGGCCTGACGCTCTAGGACTGTCAGTCTATAGGCCTGTTGGTCCCAGCCTTTTTGGACCTTTCTAAATAGGTGGCGTTGGGTGTAGATTTCTCGGGTATCTTGCGTAAGCTGGTTGAATAGGTGCAGCTGACGCTGAAGATCAGCAGACTTACGCGGGGTTGACCATGGGACTATAGATACAGCTCCATCCCACTGCTGACTTCCTGACTGCCCAGCTGTCTGGCCGTCTAGCTGTCTGGCTGGCTGGCTGGCTGATGCCTTAGACACGAAAGGGCTAGATAGAGGTTGCGCTACATCAACTGGCCATAACCCAGTGTGTTTCCAGCCGCTTTTAATAACCTGGATAGTCAAGGCGTCTAGACGTGCCCTTCTATAACAGTCTATAAAGTTCCTCTTGCCTGTTACAGTTGAATCGCTTTGTATATCTAGGTACCCTAGATACTTCCTATAGGCTGCCTTAAGAGGTCGGAATACTGACTGATCTAGAGGCTGGAGGACGTGTGATGTGTGCGGCGGCAGAAACAGGAGGTGTATGTGGTTCCGGAAGCATCGCCACAGAAAGTCTGTTGTTGTATGGCTATGATGGGCGTCTAGAACTAGTAGTCTAGTATCTGAAGGGTCCTCTGGGACAGTCTGAGGGATAAAGACCTTTTCTAGCCATTCTAGGGCATTCTGATCAGTTGTCCAGCCGTTCTCTGTTGCTGTGAATTTCCAGCTAGCATAGGGTTGAAGATCTAGAGGAAACCACTGTTGCTGGACTGACTTGCCCTTATACATAACAAGAGGCGGAAGTGCGCGTCCTCTGGCAGAGACGCACTCGATCAGAGATACCCATGCCCGCGATCCAGGCTGTTTTTTCTGGATATACTTGGTCTCTGACGATCCTAGTACTAGCCCATTGCTTCCTTTGCCCTCGAGGATACCAGTCTCATCCATGTTCCATCTATTAGCTGGCTTGATGGGCAGGATTGCTGGCAGATCAAGGCGATGAAACCATTCCTGGATAATGTCAGCAGTTGCCCCATTAATTCGCCTAGCGTCAATTGCCCTGCATCGCTGGGTTCTGATAGATGGGTTTCTGCGAAGAAATCGCTGCATCCACTTCCTCCCAAGTGGTCGCTGCCCATCGCCCAGCATGCGCTCAGCCAGCCCTTTGACTTGCTGATGGCAAAACGCAGAGCCTAGGGCAGCCTGCTTAGATATCCACTCAGCAAGTAGACCTTCCTGGTTCTGAGATAACCGCTGCAGTCTACCAAAGGCAGTATTTCTAGACTGGGTACCATGGAGACGTTGTCGTACAGTCGCCTCTGGGATGCCCCATTTGCGACCTGCCCCGCGGATACTAAGCCCGTCAGCAATATCCCAAAGTGCCCGCTGCAGCTCATGTTCACTATACTGCTTCATCTTATAGTAAAAAAGATATCCTCAAAAAATGGCGTTGTTTGGGGTAGAATAGAAGATGTTGTGATAGTTAGAAAAGAGGAGTAGGTTTTATGGTGACGCGTTGTTGGGCTGCGTGGTATGCGGGGTTGCGTGGGAAGCAGGGTGGTTGAGTTAGTGTCTTCTATCGAAGTATGAAGAAGCTATCAAGCTCAAGGATCTTACCAGTACCACCATAGCGCCCCAAAAGTTTACCAGCAGTGCAGAACGATATTCGGTGGTCATTTAAGCCACTGGAACTGCCAGATCTCCTTAAAGGAGGCCACCCATCTCCCCATTGAACACCACAAGGCTCTGTAGGGTTCTAGTCTTCTACTACCTGAACGCTGTCTCAGGTAAGAACCCGTTCCTACCCAGCCTCTTGTAAGGTTATAGAAGCTTCGTGAAACTCGTAATCTGCAGGCCGCTGAATGATTCGGAGGGGAGCTTCCACAGCGACACCCAGATAACTTCGACAGATCGCCTACCATTGCTGGAGAACAACACACTTATCCGTCTCATACAAAGCTGCATCCTGGAACAATCCCCTAAGAAGGGATTAGCTCTAGGTTCCTTCCGCAGGAAGCTGTTGGAGAGTCGCCTCCTTTGAAGACGGTTTCTGGCAACTCTTTTCTTCCGCGATCCACCTCCTTTACCATCCTCTGCGGCGATGGAAAATCCGACGAACTCAGGAAGTTGACCAAAGGAGCCACCACTTTAAGGAATCCTTCAGTATTTGATAGCTTATCTTTCCATTCCTCCACAGAAAGGGATCTATGCCTCGTATCTGACTGATCTCCCGCGAACGACGTCAGCTTTCCCGAGTATTGCACACGCGGCCACCTGCCTCAGCCCTTCTCCGTTGAGGAAGGTTTCGGGAACCCTACAGCCTCTAGCATCTCAGCTTCTTCCAACTCCTTCAAAGTGACGGAAACACACTACGGGCGTGTGGAGACGTCCTTGGATGCCTTCAAGCTCATGGAGGCCTGCATACTCGGCGAGCTGCCTCATATTTAGCAAAGACTACCAGAAACGCAACGCCCATGTATCCTTTCAGGCTCGAAATTTGCTTGGGACGAGAACGAAGCAGGTATGCGGAGGTGGACGGACGTATAGTCATGGGGCAACCACAGAGTATCGGAGAGCTTCCTGATTTACCGCGAGATAGAAGGTAAGCGCAGCAGCAGCTTTTGCGGCGGTGGACGAGGCGTCGGCAAGCTTGGTTGCGGCGGGAACAAGTACCAGGAGAACGGGGAGCCTGAGGAATTCAGATATCAGGCCGACGGCCTCATGAAGAAAACTTTAAGCATCGAGACCTTCACCGGCCAACGCCTCCACCTCATTCTATACTACTCACAACCACACTCCGAGTCGACAGAGCTTCAACGGTTCCTCTTTTCGACGAGTTGTCATTCTCTTCTTCAACAAGCTCTTCTGCGATGGTATCGAGAAAGAAGAAGAGATATTTGAATATTATGTGTGGAGTTCCCTCGTCTCTGCCAATTTCAGCCGCAAAGAGTCCGCGGACGGCCCCTATCCTCTGCGTCTCCTCCACTCCTACGAGAAGTAACCCTGTTGGCGTGTTCGGCCGTACTACCCATAACCCTGAGCGGAACCCCCGAAGACAGAGTCCCGCATCAGACCCTTTACCTTAGTAGGAGGCAAGCTAGGGTACGGCAGTCTGCGATGACCTTCATCCTCTGCACCTCCCCCACTCTTCGACAGATAAACCTGCCGAGATGTTCAGCTGTGCTACCATGATGGGGGTTCTTGCCCAAACCAACAATCTGTTCAAAACCAAGGAGGGGGGGCCTGCAACATGAACCATGCCGTTTGTGCTACAGGACCACTGCCTACCCCTATTTTGGAAGTCGGAACTCGGGAGTAATACTCTTTCCTTATCCTTCAAGAATGGACAAGATCACAACCGAACTCTATATAAGTCTGCTCAATGTCGAGGTCTTGGGGCTCGAGAATAGCTTTACATAACTACTCATAGGTTCTCCAAGCATCGTCCTCAACATGAAACCTCTCATCAATATTCCCACTAAAACAGGTCAAACCCACGGCAGAGGAGGTTACGACACGACTGGTGTCCCAAAGCCGCCCCCACGTCCTAAACCACGATAACCCGATGTAAGGCGCACCATATATCTATGATGAAGTAGCCTAACTATCTACAGATGCAAGGACACCAAGCGAAACTGGCTAGGGCTCTTGGATGAGAACAAGGAGGGAGGCTGAAAATTGGCGGGCTTTTCTTTGTTTTAGTGTGTATGTTAGAGCCCCAGGGCAGACTGGGCTCACTACACATGTGGATGTGAAAGGAGATTATGTAATGGCTGAATATCGTCCTGATTACCACAGGAAAATACTGGTAAGCATGGCGACTTGATCGGCTACAATCACGATGAGGCCGTCAAACCTCTCAATAATAGTGCCTGTCGCACTTAGAAGACTGCCATCAATACGGCCATCAACCGGCAAAATGTCCAGAGTCATACGAGACCCCCTCTCTGTTCATAGCATGAAATCCTCTGTAAACCGCAGCTTCTACTTCATACCACAGCTCAAGCACGGCTTTATCGCCGAAGGGCAAGATTTGAGAACAAACCATCCCAGCAACACCACTCTCTGTCACACCACCAGTACAGGTTCGGTAATCCCCCCACCAGGCAGTTTTGCCGGATCGCCCAGTGATGCCCCCTGAGATCATGAACATCAAACCCCATCCTTGGGGCGGGTTTCCGGGAACCGGACAGAGCTCAGGAAGCGCGTTGGTCAACTCTGGTTTGGCATCTTGAGCCCCTCTCTTGGCAAAGTCAGGAATAATGGGAATTTGGTTGGTGAACATCTCTTCAACTGTTTCTTTTTTTCAAGATCCGAGCTTTTGTTACTGGACAAGTGCCGTCGTTGAGAAAAGCTGCCAGTATACCTATGGAGCGTCGACAATGTACCTTATTTTAGTCGGCGTGGAGAACATCTCACGGATATACTCTTGAGGCCTTGCAAAGATTCCAGCGCCACCGCTGTTGAAGCAAGCATGAGTCTCTTCGTCCAACTGAGCGACCAGCGGACGATGTAGGGGGTGGTCATGAGCAACGAGCTTGCTATCGGGCTTTCTGGAGTGCATATAAGCCAATTGTTTCTTCATGGCTGAAGTCGGTATCATGTTGACATTGTACAAGCCGAGCTGCTGACAGATATTCTGCTGGATGTAGTCGTTGAGACGCGTTTTCAAAACTCGCTGCAGAGCAATGCCGGACCAGTCGACGCCAATCTATAGTAGTCAGCATACCTGTGAATTCAGGGACCCCAAAGTTCAGTTCAGACTTACACCGTACTCCCATGAATCTCCTGGCTGGAACAGCAGCGGCTGCATCCCTGGATGCTTCCCGAGAACTCGTCTTTCCCAGCAGGATGGCTCCAATCGCGCAGCCGGTTGTTGGAGAAGGTATAACCAAATCCGGAAATATGCGTCAGCAATATATGGAGAGTGATCTCTCGTTTCTTCTCCTCAAGCTTCCCTCCTGAACCCAGGACCTTGACGCCCGCTAGCTCCGGACATAGCTTCTCTAGGTGACCAGAGTCATCCAGCTTGAGCATTCCTCTCTATCTACCAGCTGCATGCATGCAACTCCTACAGCCATCTTTGTGCATGACGCTATCCAGTAGACAGTGTCCAGGGTCATTGGCTCACTGGATGAGATCCCTTGTTTCCCTGCACAGTATGCGACTTCGGTGCCGCTGCGGTCGATGACTACCACAGTCGCCCCTGGGATGCGGTTAGGATTGGCAACGGCATTGTCAACGATGCTTTTGATATCCTGTGTGACCTGCGGTGGAAGGAACATGGGCGGATGATCGTTCTTTACTGGATTTTGTTGTAGTTATTGACTTGGATATGGTTGCGATAAACGAGGCTAGTGCTTAGGGGCTTCATTTGAGGAGAGATTGGAAGTCCATTGTTTCATGCTCAAGGGATCATGGAGAGATAGATATATTGAGATGTTCTACATCTAGGGAGCCGTGTGTTACGACCCAGAAAGCGTTGGTTAACATAACCACCTGGAACGAGCCCACGAGAGGACCAGGGCATAAGTTGAGTTGAGTTGAGTTGTATTTCTACTCGGATGTAGCCGCTATTTTCCTCCGCAGCCATGCCCGGTTAGCGGGGCCTGGCAGACAGCCGACGCGCTCAAATGTTAACCCGAGACGCCCTACTTCGCCAATGCAAAACACTGACCAGCTGTCCCCAAATTCCCACTTTATTCCTCAACCTCATCTACATTTGGCGCCCACCTCATGTTGATCGCAGTTCTCTACTAATGTGACATCTCTGCTAGGATCTGTCGAGGCCTACTACCTCATATATCGGTTCTGTGTACCTACAGCCTCCCATCAATGCTTAGCTTTGTCTAGGCGGTGACTCGATCCTGAATTGCCCAAGGATCTCGGTCTTTTCCATGAATCTGATAGCTTTCGCGGCTGCTTTGCGCTCGTTCAACACGGCCCGCAGGTTGTGTCGTCCTGGAATGGCTCCGAGTTCCTGTCGTCGGGGTTGTCGGAACCGTCGGCATCGCAGCAGGATGTGCGATACCGTTTGTCGTCCCTCTCGACATTGGCAGCCGGCGTCCGTGGCGTCCGGCACTCTTCGGTTGGAGAGGAAGTCCTTGAGTCCAATCTTTTCCGTGCGCATCTGCACGAGAATTGAGCTTTGTCGCTTGTTCAGTCCCTCGTGGAGTTGGAGCGTCTTCTTGGTTGGTCTCGGTGTGTAGCGGTAGGAGGTTCTGCCTCTAGTTTCTGCTGTCCAGCTGGCTTGCCACGCCTTATTCGCTTCTGTGTGCGTCCACGTTTTGAACATTGACCTGAGTGCGTATAGAGCTGCTGGCGTGTCTGCCTTGGTGCCCATGGTACCGTTCTTCCTCCAGCCCGTGGCTTCTTTGGCAGCCGTGTTGGCGTCCTCATTGCCCTGGATGCCCGTGTGGGAGGGCACCCGTCTGATCTCTGTCTTTAGTCCTTGTTCTTGGAGTTTCTATGTCTTGTCTGCGATTGTCTTCAGCAGGTAGGCGCCTGACTTGCCCTTTGGCCTGGTTGACGACCTGATGGCCGCTTGGTTGTCGGTATAGATCAAGAGTTTGCTTCTGTTGTTTCCTTTCTGTTTATCTTCTTCGGCTATCTCGAGGGCAAGGATGATGCCTTGCAGCTCTCCTGCGTAGACTGTCGAGGTAGCGTTGTCTTCCATATACGAGCTACGTGTTTGGCGTGTGGTGGGACATGTTGCTGCCGCTCCTATGTGCCCGTTGATACCGCTCCCGTCCGTGTAGACCCCGAACAACCCACTCCTTCCGGGAAGCCACTCGGCCGGCCGTGGCTACGCCTTAACGACCCCGTTAGCCTTCTGCTCCGCATGGAGACCTTCCCACAGGAGTGTCTCGGCCCCAGGCAAAGCCGAGACGGTGCCGCCCCGTATCCGCTACGGGCCATACGGTCGCGTCGTCCGAGTTTGCACCTTAAGCTGGCCGCAACGGCAATCCCGTCTCTAAGCCGACCCACATGCGCCTCCGTCCTCTCGAGCCACCGTGTCGTTTCCGCAGGTCTCAAGTGCAGGGGCTACTGCGCCGGCGATACCACGTCTTCTTAGACGCCCCAGGTACCAACTGGGAGTGCATCAAATGTACCGGCGATACCGCGTCCAAGCGACGGCCCAGGTACGAACTGGGAACGCAGCTCCCCCGCTGCCTTCTGGTCACGACCACGGAGCTACGGCCCACCGGAAACCCTGGGCGCAACCCCAGGTCCAGCTTCCCGTTACCGCGACTCGTCTCCGACTCGCAGCCGACCATGTCTTGCAGATCAGAGGCGCAGAGCAGCCATCACGCCGGCACGACTACTCGCACTCTGTCCACTAACCCAACCCATGTCCGCCGTATGGTGTTCGATCGCGGTGCGCTGTGTCCTCGGGATCGGTCCGGCCGCTTTTCCTGTGCTCGAAGCTTAACAAGTCTGCTGACATCATGCCAACCCGTCGGTCTTAACAACTTCCATTACGCTCGACCAGAGCACGTAGGCTTGTTCCGAGCCCTCGTCGGGAGACGCGGCGATGCCTCACAATGCTCGACTCGTCCGCCTCCCGAGCCCAAAGCTGGATGGGCCGGAGGGTGTCCTGTCTCTTCATCGACGTCGGCCAATGTCAAGTCGGATGGTGTTCTTACGCCAGTATCCCCCGTGTAACATGTTGGCTTCGGAAATGGCGTGGGTGGTGCGGTGGTCGTTGATCACGTAGTCCGTTTATGGTTCGAGAGTGCCGATGAAAATTTTCACAGCACCATCCAACCGCGGTTTTTCGACCGCGCGCGACACACCGCGCCACTCCCACCATCCCTACTGACACCGGACATCACGAGAAGGTCTGCCACATCGTCCTACTGCTTTTTCAAGCAGCATCCAGTGTGCTCACTGGAGGCGGACCAGGGGATAATCAGGCTCATGTATGCATGATCACGGCGCTAACGGACAAGGGTCGGAACGGAAGAACTATGGGCAAGTCACGTGATGATAAGAAAGTGATCAAGAGATAGGTAAGGTGATCACCAAGTGAGCAGCTCACATCGGACCCATTTTAGTTGATTACCTTCGCCAGCACCACAACAGATAGAATCAGTATATAGACAGGACTTGAGCCTGGGGCTCAAGAACTCTCCATAGCTCTTCAGCAATCAACTTCGTGATACACTCTACCACAAGTGACTCTTAGAGTATCCTTCTGTTGTGAAGCTATAAGCTACCTCCGCCTAGAGACGCCTGACTGATCACCAGACGCCAACAGACCAGCAAGATTACCAACAAGACTTACCTTACTGTTATTGAGTATCGACCTCAGCTATCTGTTAGCTGAAAACACCACTGTCGGATATCTGACCGTAACACCGTAACGGCTTGTGAGCCAGTGCTAAGCTGGAATCACCGCCAAATTAGTAGTGAGTTTTTATGTATTCGCAAAGCAGCGTAGCTTGGAATCAGATCGGCAAGCTTTTTCTGTCGTTATGCTTGGAATATAATCAAAAAGCGTCTGCGATGGTGCAATATGTGTCCAGACCAGCGGAAAGACGCTTCTAGCTTTTTCTCGCGTAAGTCGGTTATGCTGGATTGCCTCTCAGATAAGCCGTCAAAAACAGTCAGATGAGAGTCTTTAACTACTCTGTACATTGTATTCGGTCCTTGCACTGTGGATGGAGTGATCCTAATTACGCTGCGAATTCAATATGGCCTCTCCAATGTGAAGCCATTTTTGGCTCATAGCACCACTTCCGACATTACTGCCCGTTCACTAGTCGCAGGACCACTACGCGTATTATGCACTATATGTACATCTTTATGTATGTACTGTACATGTAACACAATATAACGATGTAGGATCAAGACCTTCAATGGCCTTGCACCGTCCCAGACCTTGAGCTTGACAGTTGACGTGCGGAGGTCAACGTGGATTAGTGAGCTATTGACGCCACCCCCTCTATGTGGCTTAGCCGTGCCACCCCTCTGTGTGGCTCAGCTGCTTCCCCCCCACCATGTAAGTCGACGACATGCCAACTGGAAAACGGCGGGCAAGCCGTCTGTTGAAAAAAACTCCCAATTATGAATACCCTCGAATCATGCCGAAAATAACGAGCCAGTTGTTAACGAGACCAAGCGTTAGTCACGTGTTGGGAGGTATCGAAAGCGTGTGGGGTGATCAGGACTTTGGTGGTACGGTGCGGTGCGTACAAGTACCAACACAACAACCACCGAAGCAGTACATGATCCCCTAATTAAGGACCGACAGTGTGCGTCTGATCAGGGCAAATAACCGTTAAAGTTCGTGAACTGAGCGAGGGCCTGCGATGGTGTTGGCAGATGGCGATGTATTGAAAGGTATGTATGAACAAAGACTGTGCAGAGCGCTGTTATCGTAAAGCAAGACGTAGAAGGAAAGTTACTCGATAACAGAAGCAGGTGAAAATAAGGCGGTAGACGTGACTGTTTATGGCATATCTCCGTAGCTAGGGCCAGATAAAGTTTTTTTTCCTACGCCGCAGACTTCCTCATCTGAGCCAGACTTGCACTGACGTTGCTGTTCTCAGCGACATCCTCCTCTTCCTTCAGCACGAGTAGCCTTGATAATGTTGATCAGTGACACGAACTCAAGTTCAAGTGGTATTGCTCCTCAGTCTACTTGTTGAAAGGGGAGTTGAGTGGAGGATGCCCACAAGACAAGGTCAGGAACAACGCGTCCTACAACCGTGAAGAAACCATCCAATCAAACGCCCATTCGATGTTGGAGTGACATTGTGCATGAGGCAATGATTGCCAGGTGCCCGGAGGTGGCCGGATCGATGCGCC